CCCCCCCACCCCCCATTGCTCTTTAAGGGCTAGCAAATCCTTTCTAGTGAGATGTCAAAACTTTACCTCGGATGCCTCTGAAGATGTAGAAGCAGCACTTGAGGAAAGAACTTGTCTTCCCATCCACAGCTTTGCTTTGCTCTTCCTGGTAGGGCAATGGATCCCTCACCTCTTCAAAGTTCTCATAGGGATTCTCCAGGATGGACTTTGGGTTGTAGATGGCCCGAATCTTCAACGAGGTGGAGGGAGAGCCATTGTAAACAGGATTGTCCCAAGCTTTCTTCCCCACTGACTCCAGTTCATGCTCCTCTGAGGCTCTAAAGTGGCTCTCAGCTCTGCTGTTTAGGTGAGACGAGCTCATGGCTGGTCACTGCCAGCAGAAAAACTTTTCAACTGGACTTGTGAAGACTGCCTGCCCAGGCTGGTGTAAACTAGAAGAGGGATAATCAATCAATGCTAAACAGCTTGCCTGCCTCAGCAGCCAGGAGAGGGCACACAAACAGCTCCCTACAGAGAGCACATCCCCTCTTTTTTATACCGGCTCAGCTGGTGACACCTATCAGAGGGATGGCGCTACCCGTCGTTAGGAACCACGGTCAGCCCTATTATCCCAGCAGTCCTGACAACACCGACACGTCCAGGAGACCTTCTCTGCTTCCCAACGGAGATAACAGATCTAGATAACGTTGTAGGAAGAGGAAGCTGCTAGGAGACGGCCCGTGCACTGGGGGGTGTGGGTGGGTAGAGGAAAGGGAGGAGGCGGCTGGGATTGAATTGGACCCTTCGGGCTGCCTGCAGCCCAAGGCAGCTTCAGGGGAGTCTCCGGCGGGGCGCAGCGAGGGCTGGGGGCCGTGATGAGACCCTGTGCAGGAGCCGTTGGGGAGAGGGGCCCGACGGGAGGCTGTGCTTAGCGGTCGGGGAAGTCCTGAATTTTTAGTGAAACGCCAAAGAGCAGAAACGCTCTCGGTGAGTGGCGGCAGCGCCGAGCCGGGCGGGCGGCGGCACCAGCAGGTCGCCCCGGGCAGCTGCCGGCACTCGGCTCGCAGGCATTGTAATTTGTGTGCCAGGCATTGCGAGCACTCCGGGAGGAAGCTGAGGTTTGGCCTAAAACGTGATCCCGGTCAACGTTTTTCCACAACATCCTCTTTGCGATCTCATTGTTAAAATAAGGAGTGAAAAATGGGAGTAAACTTCTAGTGTAATTTTGGAAGACAGGGATGGACTCTTTTGCTTTTGCAGAATTTCTGTAAGCCCTGCAGTGCCTGATGATCGCCCTCGGGCAAGACTGAGAAAAAGCGGGATTATACCAGGAAAACTGGAAATAACAATGGCTAGGAGTTGCCAGCGTTCACCCACTGGCCAGCAGCAAGTAGTCCCTAGCCCCAGAGGTGCTGGAGGCCTGTGACTGTAGGCCTGGAGGGGAGGATCAGGTGATGGCTTAACCCTGGGATGACAGGCGATGACAAATAAATGCACAGCCTGATCCTGGTCCTTCCTCAGGTCTGAATATGTAATTTGGAAGAGGTGCTTCTCCATGGGTACTGATGGCAGCTGTTTCTCTGACATTACCCAGGGAAACAACATGGCTCTTGCACCTATAGGACCACAGGTGTCAAAGGTACAAGCAAGAGTGCTTTCTCTGGACTATTTGTACAGGTGATGTTGCCAGGCCAGCTGGGATGTGCAGAGATGTCTCCCAGATGTCACCTACCTGATGGCGGCACTGAGCAACATCTTGAACAACAGTGAGTCAAGACCAAATTTGTCAGAGGGCATGAAGAGGGCAGCAGCTGGTTGGAAGGTCACCAGAGGTCTGGGGTGGATCCTTGGACTGAATTTGGTATTATTAGGGCCCGCTTTGATTTATCACTCCTTAGCACAATGAGAGTGGTGGAATGCAGTCATTGGGGTGAATGGATGGAAACCATTTCAGGGCTCTCCAGCAGCTGGAACGCTGAGGGGTGAGACCTTGGAGACAGGCCACATACCAGAGCTGGGCATCCAGTCACACCCCTGGGACCATAGAGCAGATACCCTGCCCGTGCATAGGCAGCGTGGCTTATGGTGCAGAGCTGCCGCTTTGGGAGAGCGTGCGGGTTTTTTCCACAGCACATCTCTTGCTGCCTGTGGCGCAGCAATCCCACACCATGCCATGCACTGCGGATCTGCTTTCTCGCTGGCTAGGATGCAGAGCTGGTTGTGGGACCCTGACCTTCTGTATTGACAGCCTGAGCCACTCACCTAGCCTAGGAGACAGGTCATGTCTGTGTCACCTCCTTTGGAACAGCCTAACACAAAGCAGAACCGAGAGCATCCTATAACTAAGGAAGCACATGCAGTGCATTGCAGGCAGGCTGGGGCGACTTACTCATTTATGCAGGTCTGTAAAGGTCCTTTTCGGCCGCTTAACTTGAACTGTACTGTTAGTGCACGCTTCAGCTGTGGAGCACAGTCTAGGTGGGACTGGAGTTGCCTGGCTGGCCGGCAAAATGCCCGAGCACTTCTTTGCTAGGGAGCTGCCTCGTTTTACACTAGATGGCGCAGGGAGATGTGTCAGCTCAGGGGGTACGTGTCACAAACACCCCCACGACAGTTTTCTGTCGACATCCCCAGGAACTAAAAGCCTTGGAGCCAACAAGATATAAAGATACGGGCTACTAAATAATGCTGCTATGACTAAAAAGACAGTATGTCAGAACAAGGAATATCCTTTGTTACACTGTCATAGCTAGGAAACAACAGACCTGCTTCTGAGTGTGTAAAGCCTCCTTCAGCTCCCTGCAAATCTCACTAAAAGAAAAAAAAAAAACAAAAACCACCAACTTGCATTTCTAAAAATACATTTTCTCATTTATATCTTCTGGCCTAATAAAATATATTGCCTTTCCTCATACCCCTTGTCTTGCCAGTAGCAGTAACTTGGCACACCACGAGCTATAACAACTCTTTTACAGTAACAAGGTTAAATTCTATAGCTCAGCAGCAGCTGGGCAGGCATTGCAACTCTGAAAGCTCTGCATCCTTCAGAAATAGTTCTCAAATAATCCTGTGCAAAAACTTCCAGAAACAGGACAGAATGTGATGGTGGGAAAAAGAATATACGGGCCAGGTCCAGCCCTCATGGCTGTTTTGGCGATCACACACTCAGCATTTACAAACTTACCTGCCATTACCATGGGCCTGTCCTGATCCAAACTGGTCCTTTACCCCAACTTGCCATGGGGTTGTGAGCAAAGCTGATTGTGGTAACAGAATTTTTCTCTCAGTGATGTCAGTTTGGCTCACTTGTGTTTGTAATTATGGGGCTATCCCCTCAAAGGCTCTCAGGAGAATTGACATCCCAGCATTTAAAGGGTGTATCATGCAGGAGTCTGCAGTTTTTGAGTGGTTTTCTTTGGTTGGCTTGTTTGTTGTTTTTTTAAGTGTTCCTCTGTATAATCTATGGTGCTTATACTGCCTGAATAAATACACCCTACTTCTTCACAGAACACAGTTGCTTTACAGCTGATTGAATAAGCTATAAAAAAGTTCAGCCACCTTCTGTACAGCAAAGGATAAAAGTATAGATTTTTGTTGCATCTAAATAATCCAAATAATTAAAAAAATATATTAGCAGTAGGATCCTTCAAACACTCACCGTGAAGCTATTTCCTGTAATGATCATCATATTTTTATATTTGTACCTGTTTTACAGGAGAAATATAAGGCATGGCTAATTTGCCACCAATGTGTAGTGCAATGACCACGATACATGAGTGTGGTGGACACAGCAGAAACTGATGCGGAGCCAAATAAAAATACTTTTCACAGAATCAGAGAATTGTCTAGGTTCGAAAAGACCTTGAATATCATCCGGTCCAACCATTAACCTAACACTGACAGTTCCCAACTACACCATATCCCTCAGCACTATGTCGACCCGACTCTTAAACACCTCCAGGGATGGGGACTCCACCACCTCCCTGGGCAGCCTGTTCCAAAGCCTAACAGCCCGTTCTGTAAATTTTCAAACAATCCAAATTTGAAAAAAGCTACAAATAGTATAAAACAGAGAAAAGAGGAGTAAATATGTATAATGACACCACCAGATAGTTCTTCAGTTCCATGATGTACTCTTTTCCTGAAAGAAAAACATCCAATGGAGAAGGTATTCTAGATAGCAAACAAGTGTAGCAGCAAGTACAGCTCCTATTCTTTAGGCGTCAACATTAGATTCATGCACTGCAGTGTGGATGACAGGCCCTGCTGTACACAGCACACTGAGAGGGAAATAATCACAGGAAAACACGCAGAGATAACGAGACAGCAAATTTAATTTAATTTTCATTAAAAAGGATACCTGTCTGTTGCCTCTCTTGCAGTTTACCTAGGACAAGCCTTGATCAGCCGCTGTCCTCTTCTTTCTTCCTAGATCTTGACTCGCAGATCCAGCCCCATCCTCTTCTTTCTTCTCTAGTCTTACTTCCTGGCTCTTGACTCGCAGATCTGCCACCGTGCACTTCTTTCTTCCTGGCTCTTGAGTCGCAGATCCGCTGTCCTCTTCTTTCTTTCTGCCTCTTGACTCGCAGATCTGCTGCCGTCCTCTTCTTTCTCCTGGCTCTTGACTCGCAGATCTGCCACTGTGCACTTCTTTCTTCATGGCTCTTGACTCGCAGCTCCGTTCATTCCTCTTCTTTCTTCCTTGCTCCTGGCTTGCAGATCCATTGCCGTCCTCTTCTTTCTTCCTCGCTCTTGATTTGCAGATCCACCACCATCCTCTTCTGTCTTCCCTCTTCTTTCTTCCTGGCTCTTGACTTGCAGATCAGCTGCTGTCCTCTTCTTTCCTCCTTGCTCTTACTCGCACATCCACTGTCGTCCTCTTCTTTCTTCCTGCCTCTTGACTCACAGATCTGCTGCCATCCTCTCCTTTCTTCCCAGCTCTTGACTCGCAGATCTGCCACTGTGCACTTCTTTCTTCATGGTTCTTGACTTGAAGCTCTATTCCTTCCTCTTCTTTCTTCCTTGCTCCTGACTCACAGATCCATTGCCGTCCTCTTCTTTCTTCCTCACTCTTGACTCACAGATCCACCGCCATCCTCTTCTTTCTTCCCTCTTCTTTCTTCCTGGCTCTTGACCCACATATCCGCCACCCTCCTCTTCCTTCTTCCTCGCTCCTCACACATCCATTGCTGTGCTCTTCTTTCTTCCTGGCTCTTGACTTGCAGATCCACCACCATCCTCTTCTGTCTTCCCTCTTCTTTCTTCCTGGCTCTTGACTCACAGATCCACCACCATCCTCTTCTTTTTTCCTGGCTTTTGACTTGTAGACCCGCTGTCCTCTTCCTTCTTGCTTTCTCCTTTCTGAGCTGCTCCATCCCAAGAGAGACAGAGGCCTGAGCAACACCAACCCCAGGACCCTACAGCCAGTCAGGGGCTGATTCTGGGTGCTGACACCTCCCCGCACCCCACAGCAAGCAAAGCCACCTTCCCCTCTTGGCCCCTGCTCCCCATAGAGGCCTTCACCCCAACTCTGCCCATCTGCTGCAGAAGAGCTTCCCAGCACACCCCTCACAATGCAGATCTCAGGCTGAACCCTAAGTTAATGTGTGAGAGATTTCATAGCTCATTACAGATTTCCATAGTCCTTACTGTTGTTTGGCATTTGCGGAGGTTCAGGCTTGCCGGACCTCACTCCACTGGCCATGCACAGCCCTTTCAGCCCATCCCGGCAGTGGGATGACATCTATAGCTGCCAGCTGGATCTTGAATTTTAGGCTCACTTGCAAAAGACCACTTCTCATTAGCTGTCCACACCAACCCAATTGCACCACCCAGGCAAAGTCAACTTCACCCTTTATATTACACCTAACTTGGACCTGTCTCCAAAAGCTCTCCAAAACCTACCAACAAACCCTCCAAATCTCTTCCTTTCACCTTAAGCTGCTCTCTCGACTGCATCTCATAGACAAGCCCTCACAGAGCCACTTGTCCTGCAATAATACTCCAACATCAAACACCTGCATGAAAACTGCCACAACACCACTCCAACAGCAAATAGCTCCTGCATGGAAAATGTCCCTTTCTCCTCAGAACTCCACCCTATACTAACTGCTGACAAACACACACTGTCCTCACCAAAGCCAAACACTACAACTAGTGCCAAGTCCAAATCTTGTGTGCAGTGCAATCTTGTAGGTGTTAATGCAGAGGTGGGCTTCGAAGTTGCAGAGTGTACACCCTGGGGTTCAATAGGGCATTTTACTGGTGACTCTGTGCTCTTCCCTGGAGATGTTTATAAGCAGAGGCTGTTGAAAGGCAAGATGGAGATGATTCTCCAGGTCTCTGAAGCTGAGAGTATTAAATTTGATCTGTGATGTGGCACAGAATCTTCTTGTCCAGTTGCTTCTCTATCCAGTCAGGTGCTGCAGGAGACAGAGTGAGAGACAAATATTTAGGGCAGGATTAACAAACTCAACAGCCCTGTCCCCAAGCCTGGATGTAGACATCCAAGGTGGCCTGCTCAGAGTTTTACTATTCTCCCCCACTTTACCAGGATGCATTACTGCAGCAGTTTCTGTCCTAAACACATTCCTGACCCATTTGATGTGCTTCAAGGTTCCTACCCCTGCATTCCTTCCTAGAGGTACCTCAGCATTTCCCTTTGAAACCACACTTTGGTGCCAGCTCCTCCCTGAGGTAGCTCAGCATTTTCTGCCAAAGCTCCTTCTGGGCCATTCTCTCCCCGAACTACCTCAGTGTTTCCCGCTGAAGCCTCCCTGCCACCATCCCCTCCCTAAGTTACCTCAGCGTTTCTCACTGAAGACCCCCCAGCATCATCCCATACGTGAGGTACGTCAGCATTTCCAGCTGAAGCCTCCCCCCATGCTGTCCCCTCCCTGAGTCACGTCAGGGCTCCTTGCTGAAGCCTTTCTGGTGCTCCCTTGTCCTTGAAGTACCTCAGCCTTTTCCACTGTAGCCCACTCAGCACCACTCCCTCCTTGAGGTACCCCAGCACTTCCCACCGAAGACCCCCTAGCATAGTCCCCTCTCAGAGGTTCCTCAGCTGAACCCCCAGTGTTGCTGTCCCCTTCCTAAGGTACCTCAACGATTCTCACCAAACCCCCCAGTGCTTTCCTCTTTCTGAGGTACCTCAGCGTTTTCCGCCAAAATTCTTCAGTGCTGTCCCCTCTGTGAGGTACCTCAGCATTTACTGCCGCAAGTCCTTCGGTGCCTTCCCCTCCCTCAGGTACCTCAGTGTTTCCCGCCGAAGCCCCGGCGGTGCTGTCCCCTCTCTGACGTACTTTAGTATTTCCCATCGAAGCCCCCACTGGTGCCTTTTCCCCCCGATGTACCTCAGTGTTTCCCGCTGAATTCCTCCTGGTGCCACCCCCTCCCAGAGTTACCTGAGCATCTCCTGCCAAAGCCCCCCCCGTTGCTTTCCCCTCTGTGAGGTAGCTCAGCGTTTCCCACCGAAGCCCCCCTGATGCCATCCCCTCTCCGAGGTACCTTATAGCGTTTCCCACTAAATCGCCCAGTGGTGCCGTCCCCTCCCCTGAGGTACCTCAGCATTTCCCGCCGAAGCCTCCCGGGTGCCGTCCCGAGGTACCTCGGCATTTACGCCTGAACCCCGCCCCCCCAGTGCCGTCCCCTCTGTGAGGTACCTCAGCGTTTCCCGCCGAAGCCCCCTCGGCGCCGTCCCCTCCCCGAGGTACCGCAGGCTCTGCCCCTCACACGCCCTAACGCTCCGCCAGCGGCTCTGTCCTCGCCCTGCGCCCCTTCAGCGTTCACCTCCCTGCGCCGCCACACTCCCCCCTGCTATGGCGTCATCACGGGCTTCACCTTCAGCCCCACCGCCCGCATCTCAGCGCTGCCCACCGGCCAGCGCGGGGCTCCCTTCCCTCAAAGCCACTCTGGCGTTTCCCGCGTGAGGCCGTGGTGTTGCGCCTGTCGAGGCACCTCGGCATCTCCCCCTGGTGCCCGCGCACTGGCTGCCCGTCGCCTTCCTCCTTCCGAAGGCGCCTCGTCCCTCACCCCGCTGCTTCCCCCCGCCCCTGATGTCAGGGTGGCCTCACCAAGTCCCGCCGCTCCGCCCTGCGCCGCCTGCCGCCGCGCCGCCGCCGCGCCCACCCGGGACGGCACCAAAGAGCCCGTAAATTCCCCCAAAGAGCGGTCTCGAACACTGAGTAAGAACTACAGAGCGTTTAGATTTCATGGTTAGAAAAAGGTTCAGCCAGTTAAAGAGCTGACGCTTGCTGAGACACTGAAGGTAAACCTGCTTGCCAGACCCAGGAGCACAGGCTCACCAGGAGGCCAGCAGCCCCTGCTGAGGCACCACCCCACAGGGGATCTTCTGCCAACAGTTAGAGATGGTGCTGGCACACCAGTTACAGACTATCTCTCCGCGCTGAGCAGGACTGGAAACTCTGACCCAGATTTAGCACATCCAGCAAGGAGAGGAACACACAGAACCTGTGCCCATGGCATATCACAAGCAAACACCTGCCAGTATCCTTGCAAAGACAAAGCAGGACTTGGATCAAAGATTTCTTCCCCAATACAGTTATCTGCCAGATGCAAGTGAGTCCCTGAATAATACTCCTGAGAAGAGAGCAGGTTGCAAGCTTGTGTCCACTAAGTGTTTGTGTTGAGTAAGTGTGATCAGATGAAGGGATGCTGATCGCTCTTCCTTGTTTTGCTCCTGAAGAGGCATAGGCTGTTTTTCAAACACCTGTTTGGAAGGCCTGTTCCTCTGAACTCTTCACCCTAGCCACTGACTACTCAGAGACACCATTTGCTGCTTTCTCTCCATACCTCTGTGTTGGAGAACAGCTTGCAGAGAGCAAGGCCATAGCTCCCTGCAGGAGCTGGTCGGCCATAGCTCCCTGCAGAAGTCGGTCACAGCCACCTGAGATAAACAGAGGAAAAAACCCAGGGTACAGTTATACTAATAAGGAGGGAGATTCAAGGCTCAGTGATGCTGACAAGGACTGTTGTGAGAACAAAGAGATAAGTTGGGGCACATTATGACCTTGGGGGTGAGACAAAAACAGCCCTGAGAGGGAAACAGGTTCAAAGCAAGAAAGATGTTTATGCATACCAGAAATGCCACAAGGGGCTGGGATATTATAATGTGACCTTTTAGATGTACCCAATGGCTGAGATATTATAATGTAGTTTCTTAAATGTATCCAATAGAGCTACAAGTAGTGTATTGTAGAGTGCTTATATAAGGTGTGATTTCTTTCAATAAAGTTGAAGCTTGCTCTATCATTCACATTGAATCGGCTGCTTGCTTCCTCCACCCACCGCACCTCTGTGCACAAAGTGAAGAAACAGCCAGTAAGTGGTGTGTTATACAGCTAGAGAAAGTCATTATGCCATAAAGGCCTTTCCAGTAATCAGTAATCTTTAGCCTCTGCATATTCCATTCCCTTAGAGAACTCAACAGGTTATGTGAATAGGAAAGAAAGTGAAAGCAGGCACAGAGGTGAAGAAACTGGCTGGATCTTCTATGGCAGGCAAAGAGAGCTGAGCAAGGAAGACCTCCATATCCTTATCCCACCAGGTTCCTGGCATACGCAGCCTGCCTTTCTATAGCTCAACCCCAACAGGAAGAAGTCTACATCCAAGAATTCAACACCTGGTCTGTTTAGTCCCCAAAAGGCCTTCCCTAGTAGCACTCAGTATGCTTATATGATAAGGTAGCATAAGGTACAGTTTAAATCTGTGGAAGTAGGAAGAGCTAGTTGAAAAGAAGAAGCCTACGAGACTGTACAGGCCTAAACTGGTAAACATTGTGCTAATACTCAGGCTAACGCTTAGGAACAGGAAGCATCACAAGTCAGAGATGAGATGGGAGTTTCCATCAGCTTTGTTAAATAAGCAAGCATGATGGAAAACAGCATCACTTCATCCAGCTTCCTAATGGAATGCCATAATACATATAATGGAAGACTAGTAAAAGAAGGTCTCTGCTGTGACATTGTTCCCCTCCTCCTGAACTTATGTTCCTGCTCATGTTCCCACCTTCAGATGCACCAGCTCTTTTTTAAGCATTCTGTCTCTGAAGCATAGGTAAGGCCTATGCTCTTTTCAGTTTATTCACAGTAGATCTTGCATAGAAATATTGCATGTTTTCATTAGCTATTATTTGTACTTCAGTGCTTTTCATCTACTCACCAACTACATGCTTATAAGTTCAGTAAAGCTCTTTAAATTCACTGTTGTGACCACCCAGGCTTGCTGGGCAGCTCCCAGGAATTTTACAGCATTCGACTCTTGGTTACAAAGTGGCACAGGATTGCCCTGTTTGGGAAAGCCCCCTGGGAGCATCTCTGACCCTCTCTGACTTTCTGGATGAGTCCCATGAGGATGCTGTTCAAACCCCTTTGCAATCTGGGTCCAGCCGACCTCAAGAACCCCTGACCGGAGTGCAATTCCGCAGCTGAAATCTGTGGGATGCTTCAGGGGCTGCAATCCTATACTTGCAGTTTTTGCTGGGCTTGGGCAGCCCTGCAGGATTCAGTGGACCAGCTCTGTCTCTCAGTTTCTCCCCTTTCCCCTGTAAACAGCCAAAATGTAAATATCTCTCTGGGAACGCTGGAGTTGGGGCCGTGTGGCAGCCCAGGACCGCACTGCACGGAAAAGTGGCAGCTGGACGGGAAGGACAAGGGCAGAGCACCGGAGGAGCCCACGCGAGGCGGCAGCGGGACCCTGCCCGCTCCCGTCCCCGCTTCCCCGCCT